GGTAAAGACGGTAATGTGTGTATGGTAATATTATCTAGGACAAAAGAACAGAAGACAATCCTCGATGTTCTTTTATCACAATTGCGGTTAAATCCTTGTGAATTCAGCTGCTAACTGACCTGACTGACTGAATCATTATATTTCGCCCAATTTATATATCTTTTTAAACGTCCTATGTGTTATTCTGATCTATATGCTATATTACTGTAAAGTTCATCAAAATGCATGCAGTAATTCAGTGTGAAAGAGTAACCTAACCATCAAATACATACATACTCACAAACTTCCACATTTTCACACTTAATAAGATGAATCTTTCATCACTGTACAAGTTGAACTCACCATTAGTTTTGGCTATGTTTGGTATTTGACTAGATTTATGTTCATTTTCTATAAACATCTCCAGAGCCAAGTCTTGGCTGACCTCCAGCCTCTCTATAAGGTGTCCTTGGCGTGCAAACTTGACAAATTCCGCTGTAATGGTGTACAGCTCGTGTTGACTTGGCGTCCAGTCTGGTAGGGATGGGAGATCTATGTCGTATATAAAGGAACCGCTACGAACTGAAAAAAACAACAATAACATTAATGGATTTATGTATTACTTTATCGCATGCTTTTTTTCGGACTACTCTAATGCTGTTGGCCGCAACTGGCCTTAACAACTTCACCGGACGACAGGGGGCGAATGCAGATGGCACTTCAAACCCGCGTTTGTTGTCTAGTACCTCTAACACAAGCCCTGCTTACCGCGGGACTAGATGGCATTGTGTTAATTATCTATGGTAAAGAAAAAAAATATACTAACTGTCAGGTCCGGGAAAACTGTGCAGTTTAACAGTAACATCATTCTTGAACGCTATAGATGCACACGCTCCTAGCACCAATGAACATGTCTTCCAGAACGCCTTGTTCACTTGCTGAGGTTCAGCTACTGTGAAGTTCTGGAACTGAGCAATATAATACAAAATAAATATATATAAACATACCAACCAAGTACTTTTTTTTTTATAGTTTTTTTTTTTATTATAGTGTTTTGTGTGTACTCGATTTTGGGCTGCTCTTCTCCAGTAGGGACCTGCTGTTAGCTTGATTTCATCCTCCCAGCGTCTCTGTGGTCTACCTCTTTTTCTTTTTGTTTCCCTTAGATACCATTCAGTTACGCAAGTAGATAGATAGTTAGATAACATTTTTATTCACGTTAAAGACACACATGTCTTTATGTGAATAAAAATCTTACCCCTACTGGAGAAGAGCATGTCCCGGAAAAATGGAAACGGTTCATTCTTGAAGAAATTAGAGGGAGGCCTTTGCCATAAGGCACTCTGTCTGTAACCGTTCATGGAGGTTCAGCTACTGGAAGGGGATTGCCAGTATAATACAAAATAAATATATATAAACATACCAAGTACTTTTTTTTATGTATCATATCAGGTTTTGTGTGTACTCTTTTCGGGTTACTCTTCTCCAGTAACCTGCTGTTAGCTTCCTATTAATTCCTGCACGTCTGTGGTCTAACTCTTTTTCTTTTTTGTTTCCCTTAGATACCATTCAGTGCTCATCTTATAACATTTTTATTCACGTTAAAGACACACATGTTTTTAACGTGAATAAAAATTAGCGCAGGAGAAGAGCATCCCAAAATGGATTCACTGGAAGAAATTAGAGGAGGCCTTTGCCATAAGGCACTCTACATCTTAACCGATGGAACCGATGGAGGCACGCACATCGATGAAATTTTGGTCTCGATCGGTCAAGCCGTTCCGGTGGAGTATCGTTACAAAGTGTAAAAATCTGATCTCTGAGATGGCCCTGCATTTCGCGCCCCGTTCAATTATCATTACATAGTTAGTATAAAAGAAAGTCGCTGTCGCTGTCTGTCCGTTCCTGTATATGCTGAAATCTTTAAAAGTACGCAATGGATGTGTGTACGTGTTCATCATCTGCTTCTTTTATCCAATTTATTTGTGGTCGTCGTAATATGTTTTTCTCTTCCATTCATCCCTGTTCGCAGTCATCGCGTTATTTACTTCCTTTATTACCATATCATCTTTCACACGGTCCATCCATCTCTAATAAGGCATAAGGCACTCTGTACTGCGGGATATAATATAAATAATGAAATTAATCATTAAACATAGAAAATCAAACTACTTAACAAATGTGCAAATAATAATAGTAAAATATATCTTATATATAAAATTCTCGTGTCACAATTTTCGTTCCCATACTCCTCCGAAACGGCTTGACCGATTCTCATGAAATTTTGTGAGCGTATTGAGTAGATCTGAGAATCGGCCAACATCTATTTTTCATCCCCCTAAATGTTAGGGTAGGCCACCCCTAATTTTTTTTTAATATTTTAGACAAAATTTTTAGTTTCTGTTTTTTTATGATACAAGATACAAAAATACATACAATCCTAAATTTTCACCCTTCTATCATCAACCCCTATTTTATAGCGTTATTAATTTATATGGCAAAACAATTTTTGCCGGTACAGCTAGTATATATATAATTATATAATAATAATAAATTTATAGTATAATATAATAATATAAATGAACATGAATGTAACAAAAAAAAATGTATTAAAAGTACAGAAATAATGGCTTCTTTATCTTAAACATACCAACACAATTATTCTTCCAGTAAGGGTAGTTCTTATGGACCATATGATGATATGATATGAACAATGAAATAATGCATTCGCCTGCACTAACGGTTCACGCTAGCGAGGCAGCAGTAAAGGATGATAAGATGATCATGAATTCAGTTCAGATAGCCCATCATGGTAAATTCACCATGATTTATCACAATGGTTTTCAGGGGGAACCATGTGGAGGTAACATGACATGGTACTTTGTTAGCGATGGGGTTATTTTCACATTACTAACAATCCCCTTTCCCCCAGAAAGAGTAATGCGAAGCATTGACAATATTGTGGGTAAGAATAAAGGTTGTGTAGTTTTTATTGATTCACCTTGATAATAATAATAATCACAAAGCGCCATTTAGACCCAAGTTAAGCTAGCTAAAGCTTGTGTTATGGGTACTAGACAACTGATACAAATACATAGATATATTTTTTCATAAATACATACAATTATGCTTAAGAATACAAATTTTTGTGCCATGCGCAGAATCGAATTTACAACCATCACATGTAAGGCGGAATGCTAAACCACTAGACCATAGAGGCTGTGCAATATTATCTTCTATTTAAAAAAAAATTAAAGTTACAAATAACTGTTAGTAAATCACAAGTGAAGTTAAAGAAACTATACATACCTCTAAAGTGCAATTTTCTGTAAGAGGTCTGTGCATGTCCCAGTACACATTTCCATCAATCAATGCTAGAGCACTAGACTCAACATGCCACTCGCTCATATCTGAAAATGAAATGTAGATAAATTAAAAAAATAATCCACTTGTTATAGGAATTTTTTTTTATTGGGTTGTTCGGGCTTTTTTTCAGGTGTTTGTAGCACTTGTAACACTGCGACCTACATACATCTATTGTGCTCGCCTTTTTTCAGAGTTCGCTACCTAGACCCGTCAGGGACAAGAATTGAAGGATATTCTTAAGAGTGATGGTTTTTATCTCCTCAAAAAAGAGTATTCCAATATTTCAGTGATATTTCGTTTATGCATGAGTGGGCTACAACCACATAGGATCTGTCATGTGTGTCATTTGCCAAATGTTATAGGATACCATAAGACCATTTATTAACATATATTATTATTACATCATTCCTCAAATTAATAATATATATTAGCAATTAATAAAAAATTATACTAACATTAATAAAATATTCTTTCTTATATATAAACTACTTTCGGAATTATTCTCATTTAAAGGTTATTTTTAAATTAGATGGTAATTCTTATCTTTAATTTTTGCCACTTTACCATACTAAAAGGTGATATATAGAAGCTATATATCACCTTTTATAAATCAATCATTTACCGAAGGAATATTCCCGAATGAACTAAAAAAATCTCTCATAAAACCAATGCATAAAAAGAACGAAAACACAGATCCTAACAACTACCGTCCGATAGCGCTTTTACCAGCAATTTCAAAAATTTTCGAAAAAGCCATGTGTGTACGCGTCTATAAATTTTGCGAAAAATATAATATCTTTCATGACTCTCAAAATGGTTTTCGTAAAAATCGATCCACAACCTTAGCAATATTCAAATATATACAGGATATTCTCAATATCATAAATGACAAAAAATATGCTATAGGTATATTACTAGATATGTCCAAAGCTTATGACAGAGTACAGTTCAACATATTACTGAATAAATTATATGGAATTGGCATTAGAGGAAAAACTCATGAATGGTTTCAATCGTATTTGGCAGATCGCGAACAATTTGTAGAAATCGAATACTTCAATTATGACACTAAACAAATACAAACTATAAGATCAAGTGGTACGGTTACAAACGCTTCTATACCCCAGGGTAGTGTAATTGGATGCTTATTGTTCTTAATATATATAAACGATCTGCCAAAAATTATAGACGAACTGTGCGTATTGTTTGCGGATGATGTGTCACTTTTGACTTCATATGATATTAACATTGATTTAAACGATAAATTACAGAAAATTATGGAAAAAATAGTAAATTGGATGAATCTACATAATCTAGTTATTAACTTTTCAAAAACTAAAATCATCAGCTTTCATCCATATCAAAAACAACCCCTAAATATAAACTTTAAATTTAACAACATCACAATAGAAACAGCTAATGAATTTACACTTCTAGGTTTAGTAATAGATACCCATATACATACATCGGTGGAAAGCACACATACAAAAGATAAAAACAAAAATGTCTAGTTAATCGTTTATTGTAATAAATTCGGGAAGTGAAAAGGACTACAGTGTCACGTCTCTACTGCCCTTTCCACCTATTATGCGTTTGCACATGCATGGCTCAGTTATGGGGTGGTTATGTGGGGGAACAGCGTGGACGCATCTGTTCTGTTCACTCTCCAGAAGAAATTAATACGAATAATATTTAACATAAGAAGCCGAGAGTCGGCTTCGCTAGTTCTGTAAACCTTATTTTATAATAAATAAAATACTCACCCTGCCTTGCATCTATATTTTGGAAGTGTGTAAATTTGTAAAAAAATATCCGGAACTGTACAAGTTGCGAGAAGACACAGACTATAATTACGCGTTGCGTAATAATAAAAAAAAGTACAATTACCCACCTCTCGTCTCAAATTACATTCTAGTGGCCCTTGGTATCGTCTATTAAAATATTTAACCAACTCTTTTGTGTTGACCAACTTCTATAAGAACTTTAAATAAGAATAGCCTATTTATAAAATACTTAAAGGATTTACTATGTAAAAAACAATATTATAATGTAAGTGATTATTTGAATGATGTATTTTAGTTTTTATGTAACATTTAATTAATGTATATTACAATGTATAACTGGATGAATAATATTAAATTATATGTTATAACTATTTATAATAATAGTAATAATAATGTTATGTTTGCGTGGAGTCGAAATCCTAACAGGGTCCATAATGATCGAAAACGTATTATAAACATCTTTCACTGTAATATTATGGAATGCAATAAATATTGAGTATTGAGTATTGAGTATTGAGTATATATAAATTTATATAAATTTATATATATATATATATATGATGTCTATCAAAATTCTTTATTAGAGGGTGTTCATTATACAAAAATATATAATAATATTCTTAATAGAAAATACAATATATGTATATATTTGTATAACTATTTATGTTTATGTTTGATTATACAATTTATAATTCGATTTTTTTTTATTAGTTTTTATCCTTGTTTTACTACAATTACCCACTCAATAACACTTATGTCACTGTTTTGGGTTGACTGAAACTGATCTCTTCTAGGGATAAGTCCACCTCCGCTCACATTGTCTCTATATTATATTATTAATGCATTATCTGTGCAATAAAGAATATATTATAATAAATTCTTAAACAAAAAGCTAAACTTACGTTTAGCAAATTTAGAACAATCGTAGGGCGTAGAAATATCTTTATTCATAACCAAAGTCACATTTTTCGGAACACCTTTGTAATTAACTTCAATTTTTTCTATTCTCCCAATCTTTTCCTGTTGCCGTTTTTTTTCTCTTTAATGTAAAAAGATGATTTAATTGCGGCGGTCTGTTGCCTCTCTTGTTTTCATTGAGTACTAAGATATCCTAAAAAAAACCTTATCCAAAACAAATGTAGTGTAATTTAACAGAACTTTATCATTATATAAAAAAAATTGAGATAATTATAATAAAACATTTAGAGATATCTTGGGAAGCTGAAAGGCAGGTATTTAGATGATTTTGAAAACATGATTGTCACTCTTTGTTTGTATTGAACTATGCAAAACTTGAACAGAATAAAACATATCCATAAAAGTTGAATATCTGTTTTCCATAATTTATTATTAGTACTAGACATAAGAATAGCAAAAGCCTCCTCGAATTGTTGCCTAAACCGTTCAATATCCTCCAACTTGCTCTTGTGGTTATAAGTTTATATACACATTTCGCATGTTTTTGTAACTCAGATCGTTCATGGATACATATTTGCCATTGTATTTTGATGTTATTTAACAAAATAATGTAATATTTTCCTAAATGATATACGAAAATTAAAATGTAAACAAAAGTTAAACTAACAATTTGATTGAATGAATTAATACTGACGGGTTATGATTTTACTGTTCTGTGTTGCCAACAATGAGTTATGATTTTTTGCATTTATTGACAAATGAATGATACTGATTTGATGGAATCATGACAACTTTGAAAAATGGCTGTATGTACGGCGGTTATATGACAATGAAAAATGACTTGGAAAATTATGAGATGAATATGATAATCAGATGATTATGAAATATGATTTATTTATGGGTTTTGAGATGAATGATGGTGATCTGGACGAAGGACCATAAGAATGTTGGGTAAAAAAAATAACAGTTTCGTGTCGTCCCCGCGTGCAGGTCTTATTATACGCGTAGCCGTTTCACAAAAACGCACAACACTACGATGAGTTTCACTGGATGATGTACTAAACAGATGATTGCGCGGAGATCGCGGCTGATGGTTTCGTTAACGTTGATTTGCGGAGAATATACTGATTTGCGTGTGCTCGACGCGACGGACAACGAACGACTCACTTTGTTGATGCTACCCCCAGATTTGGTGGATAAAAATAGGAGTTTAGGGTAGTAACATATTGCAAGTTGGCAAATTAAGATTTATATCAATGTGTTCATACAACTTTAAATTGTATTATTGGAAGATGATGGAAAAAGGTAGATATACGCTAAAACTAATATGGCCTAAGTGTTAACTTACACCTTATTAAAAAAAAATAACAGTTTTGTTTTCTTAGACCACAGGTTGTATGTATGTGAAAAATAATATCTTGAGCCAATAAATATTCAACTTTTAGAATTTATTCTTTTAGCATTTTGCCTGCTTAGTTTAAAATTAATGTAATGTGTAATTTTTGTTTTAGTATACAAATAAAAATAATTAACAAAGTTAGTAGTGTTTATATACATACATAACTACAAGTTAATAAATGAGTATATTTCAAGACAATTTAAGTTGTAGTAATAATGCTTGTCAAGTTCAACAATCAAGTCATAGTAATAATGCCAGTTTAAACTGAAGTAATTTTTATTTCATAATAATTATAAACAACAATTAATACTATATTATTAATACATATTATCCAACCATAGTTCTCTTCCTGCCTCTTGCTCTTACATCTTCAAACTTAGCCAGAATTTCTTTTACATTATTATGTTTACTGTAATTCTTATAAGCATCTAGAATCTTATTGAATAAGTTTGGAAAATCATTGTGTGTACTGATTAGAGCTCTTTCCAGCACATACAAATCCACACCCATATCTTCAGTGCTCGAGTCGACATATGATAAACCAAAGTCTATCATTACTAACTCTATATTATTTATTTGAAGCCATCTTGCATCATCATCAGTACCTTTAGGTTTCTTTTCAACGAGTAGCATATTTGAAGTTGTTAAATCACCGTGAATTATATTATTTTCATGTAATTTTTTAACAGTGTGGCCTATCATGGTAGCAACAGAATTTAAAACATTCTCAGTATCGCCGGCATCATTTTGCTCCGTCTTTTTGACAATATTAATGATAAAATCTTTTACGGTTATACTGTTTTCAAAATGTTGCATATAAATTCGACGACGTTCGAAATCTACTAAATACAATGACGGCGTTCGAACTCCCGCCGTTTTGCATCGCACTATGGATCTGGCTTCGTTTTTTATTCGTTCTTTCGTGATAGTAGCATCAAGGTCTGGGTGCCTATAGTTTTTTTTAAATCTCTCCTTAATTAACGTAGGCCGGTCCAAGTACTTGCATATATACAGTTTTGCCTCCGCACCTTGTTTCAAGATCTTCAATTCTTCAGCCATAATTGTACCTTTTAATGGTAATCGAAATGCTGAAAATAACCGGGATATACATATAATGTAGTATAAAAAATATGTACTTCTAAGATTTCACAAATTTAATATATTAATAAATAAACATTATGGAAGTGTAAATAAATAACATAACCTCTGTTAAAGTCACTTATACCACAGACTATTTATGTACTAAGCTAACTGTGGAGTACGGTTGTTCAAAAACCACAGACATTAAAAACTGGTGTAACCGGTTTTTACAAAGATTAAATTTATTGAATATTGAAACCGTTTTAATTTTTCATTTTGATTGTGTGCCTAATAAAAATGTAGACGAAAGATTTGGTTTGGGTATCTAACAAAACTGAAGATTATTTTGAAGATACAGTTCTCGGACGTTCATTTTGCAAGCACATATTAAATTTTTTTTATTAAGCACTTCACTGACTTAACCTGACTTTTTTCTTCATGTATTACTGGCAGGTTATAGTTTTTTAAATAATTTCTTAAATGTCTTGTCACCTAAAGCGTTTATTAAATAGTAATAATAGATACTAGGTCATATTACTGGCAACTTTCTAAATTACAGTAATAAAGTAAACATAAGGAGGATAAACTTTCCTTAATGTAAAAAATAAAAACAAAGATAGCGCGGGTAGTTTTTTTATGTGAGTATAATTGAAAAAAGCTGATGATTGACCTAATAAAAAGCGGTTAACTCTCGCTTATTGTAAATGAACAGCATCATGGACATCAAGAAAAACATTATAAATGAACAGCATTTTACATGGACCATTACTAAATTACTAGTGAAAAACTAGGTGTAAAATAATTCTAGTGTCAATTCAAATGTTCGCACAAGTTCGACATAGATAGACCGCACGTCGACTGATGTAGCAAGTACGTAGGTGGATACGTATTTCAAGTTTTAGGTATCCACTTTCTATATCTACCTACCTACTATAACTTCGTACATATGTATGTATTCACTCACTGGAGTGGAGAGCGATCGAGGGAGGCTGCGACTGTGGTGCTTGATATTGGTTATTTCAACAGTGCCGGCCGGCGGTACCACGTATAATTTAATTCATGCACAGAGTTCCCATCGAATTCTTTAATGGAACCAGTGATTTATATTAACTGTTAGCATTTTAGTGTTAGTTTGACGTTCGAACGCTCCGCTGTCTCATATAAATACAAAAATCGTGTGAAAACATACCAAAAATTTAGTAAAATTTTTGTAGTGTGAATTTTTGCTGTGAATTTTTATAATAGTGAAAAATGTCTGTGGAAGGTTTGGAATACGAGACAATCGTCCAAAATGGACCAAAAAAAGTGAGTATTTTTTTTTAAATATTTAATTATAAATGTAATTATGAGGCAAAGGATTGATTTTGATAATTCTTAATTCATTATCCCTTTATGACAATGCTCTCGCCTGTCGTTCAAAGAGTTATTTTTAAGTAATATACCTAGTAGTAAACCTCCACGATGGAGGTTTCGTCTGCGAATTCCGAAATACATGTGTAGAGTCGTAGTTTTGTTGAAAAGGGGGTGGTGAGGTGGGGTGATGTGCTATACAAACGTCTGGGTGCATTTGATAGGTATATACAGACTGGCGTGGACGGGCACGTCTGCAGTTGCGTCTAGAAGTGGCGTCTGATGTGATTTCCTCTTGATTACGACCCACACACGATGCAATTTCCTTAATTAATTTGGTATTTATCAATCTGTTGCACTGTGTATTCAGGTATATTCAATCGTGCGTGTAACAAAGTCAACAAGAAAAATTATATAGAAATGTTTTTATATATTTATGTTGAATTATAATAAATCTATATGTAGCCATTATTGATAAACATAATAATTAATTATGCTTGGCAATATGTAGATTGCGTAAAAATAATGATTGCACTCCAGGCGAGCATTTTTAATTATCTTAGTATATTATTTATATTTATCCAAGTATAAGTATAAATAAATATTATCGAATCGGCCATAACTAATAACCAAAATACATAGGAGAAAAAAAATATTTTTGTTTTTTTTTTCAATATTTTTTTTCTAATGAACTAAAATTACGTCATTATATTTTAAAAAATAAATAGGTACCTACTGATATTGCCGGGAAAGGAACCGCGCCCAATTTTTTTATGCAATATGACGGACGACAACCATAAATATACAGTCTATTTAGTTTAAAATTCAAAATTTCTCTATCTTCATGGGTGATTTTATAATTTACAGGTTTAAGTTAATTATTTTTGCTTACGCAATATCTGCACTGGAACTGAACTGATTTTTACGGTTTTTTTTGTAATAAATATTTTCTGATTTCATTGCTTTTTTTTTATATAAGCGGTAATGTTTACTCAGCTTACCAATTTTGTTTTCATTAAATTCGTTTCTGTGGAACAAAGGAGTATGTTTTTAGTTACGTTTACAATGATTCACAGGATGAAATGTGAAATTTTTGTGAATCATTCCTGAATATAAACTTATAACTCACTATCTTTTGCCCGCGGCTTCGCTCGCGTTAATTTATGCCCTTTAGGGGTGGAATTTATTAAAATACTTTCTATGGAAATGCCTACGTCATAGTAGCTTTATGCAAGTCTCAGCCCGATCGGTTTAAAATTGACAAAGTTTCATACACACTTTTTGTCCCCTATTTTATCCCCTTGGGGGTAGAAGTAATCAGAATCCTTTCTTAGCGGATGCCTAGGTCATAACATCTACCTGCATGCCAAATATCAGGCCGATCCGTCCAGTGGTTTAGGCTGTCCGTTGATAGATCACTAGGTCAGTCACCTTTGAGTTATATATATTTAGATTTCTCAGCCGTTGATCTTAAAATAAATAAATTATTGTGGGTTTTGGTATTATTTGGGAAGATTGCAAATGAATATAATAAATTGTACGGTGTATATATTATAGTTGTTGCTAATAAATAAATAAAACCTATGTGGTCTAACGGTTTAGCACATCGTCTTACTTTCTATAACCTCAAGCTGCATTCCTCGCAGAGTAATAACATTGTATTCATGAGTTGTTTTTTTTTTGTCATGGCTTGGCACTATGGTGCATTTGCCAATCATGAGTTGTTGTAATCTAGGGTTTACATATCTATACATATAAATAAAATTGGAGTGTCTGTTTTTAATATAGAAATAACCGTTTTTTACTACATGCATATGAATATAAATACGGCGCATACACCAAAATAACATTTTTTACAATTTTTGTCTGTCTTTCATCCGTTTGTTCCGCCTAATCTCTGAAATGGTTGAATCGATTTTGATCGGACTTTTATTGGCAGGTAGCGGATCTAATAAAGAGGCTACTTTTATTTTAGAATAATAAAGTTAAATTCCACGCGGACGATATCACGGGAACAACTAGTATACAATAACTATTTAAATTTTTGAATAAAAACATTTTTTTTAAGTGCGATATAAAATATGATCTACAGTGACAGGGAGTGGGCGGGATTTTAAAAATAAGTATGACGTCATTTTGGATGGGCCCGAATGTCGATGGGTCGAGCCGCAAGGTCCGTTACCCCCTACAATCTAACGCGAAAATTTGTGAGTAGGGATGGACAGACAGATGTATGGATGTTTATTACTCTGCACGCAAAATCTACTGAACGGATTTTAATGAAACTTTACAGTAATATAGCTTATACATCAGAATAATACATAGGGTACAAATCGTATGCAAAGGGATGTTTGTTACTTTATTACACAAAAACTACTGAACGGATTTTGTTGGAATTTTACAGTGATATATTAATGCCTATAAATTCACATCAGCATAACATATAGACTATAAATTTGATGCGTGTGAAATCGCGGGTACAGCTATATATATATATAAAAGTTAGAGTTGAAGTTATTTTAAAAACTATCCTAAATTAACGTGAATACAGTTAGTTTTTGAATATATAATTATATTATAATTTATGTATAATATAACGGGTACATTAAAAGGTCATGCGAACGTAGTCAGGTTACCAAACAATTCATTTATCTCATCTAACGGGGCCTCACTACCTCATACTGCGGCTCTGTTTAATTAAAATTAATTATTTGTACGTGACATATATCGTTATATTTCGCCCAATTTACATAATATCTATTAAAATTATAGCCTATGTGGTATTCATAAAGTTTCATCAAAATCCGTTCAGTAGTTTTTGCGTGAAAGAGTAACAAACATCCATACTCACAAACTTTCGTGTTTATAATATTGATAAGATTAAGGTTTTTTACTTTTTTTTATACTTCAGTACTAGTAGTTGATTTTATAATTACTAAAGTAATATGTTGCAACTATATATTATACTGTACTAACTGTTATACCTCTAGTTTTATATATTTATATTATACTAGCTGTCCCAGCAAATGTTTTTTTGCATTAAAAAAAAAAAAAAATTAGGGTTGGACTACCCCTAACATTTAGGGGGATGAAAATAGATATTGGCCGATTCTCAGACCTACTCAATACGCTCACAAAATTTCATGAGAATCGGTCAAGCCGTTTCGGAGGAGTATATGAACGAAAACTGTGACACGAGAATTTTATATATATATAAGATATATATAAAATACTCGTGTGACTTTCCATACTTCTAATTTATATGCTATTCAATAGGTCTGAATCGGCTACTATCTATTTTTGTTACCCCTGAGTAATAAGGGTTGTCCACATCTAAGATTATTTAAAAATATTTCGTAGACTGATGTACATAGCCTATAGAACTACCCTTATAAAAAAGCTAACTACTGCCTAGATTAAGCTCTATTAAGTTCTATCAAGACGCCCATGGATGGGCCCAAGTTTAGGTTTTAAAAAAAATGACTCATAGAAATGACAAGTCATTGATACAATATAAACTATATATAAACCAAATATGTATAAATAATAAATTAGTATATGCTCACACACATGAATAAAAGAAGAGTATGTTTAGATATGACGACTGATAGAGAGCAGTGGAAGAGAATGACATACTGCGCCGACCCCAAATAATGGGATAAAGGCAAGGCAATGATGATGATGATGGTCACTACATGCTCCCTAATTGAATTAAAAAACAATCTTTAATATTGTAATAATGTACGCGCTCATTTGAAAAGAATAAGAGCTGAGTTTCTTGTCAG